ACTCTTTATCTTACAAAGTTCGTAAGTTTTAACCCCTCACCTTACAAAGTTGGTAGGTTTTAACCACTTACCTTATATTATGATATTTTTAACCGATATGAATTAAAGAAAATAACCTTCACCTACCATCAGGTTATAATGTTTTGTTAGTTCTGTTAGTTGACTGTTAACATCCGTTAGCATTCTGTTATAAAAAACATGAAATTTAAATTCAATTTTATTTGTTAGTTTCATTAACGAAATGTTAACGGATGCTAACAATCAGTTAACAAAATTGATAATCAGCTAATAGAACTAATAGAATATTATAACATGATGTTAAATAAGGATTATTTTCTTCAATTCATACAGATAAGGGGCTAAAAATGTCACAATATAAGGTGAGGAGTTACAACCTACCAACTTTGTAAGGTAGAGGGCTAAAAGTGTTTTATTATAAGGTTATGGGCTAAAACCTATCAATTTTATAAGGTGAGAGGTTAAAAGTTGGTTTTAGCCGAATTTAGAATACCAAGATCTAATAAAATAAAAAAATTACATATATGAATTTTCATAATTAATATATTACCTAAGAATCTTTTAGGATCTTCAAGAATCATCATAATTTGATATCTCATGACAAGACCTACAAAACAAATGTAGTTAGTATTGGGATTTAGATCTTCCTCTCCCTATTTTCTCCTTATTCAACTTATGTAAGTGACAACTAATGGGTCATACAATTCCCTAACTTCATTATTTATAAAGATAAGGCATTCTAAATGGAAGAGAGGACCTAATCCATTATAATAATATTTTGGGTACCCCATCAAGTAGCCTACCATTAATTCTAAATCCTATAGCTATTCATGTCACACCATATAAAATTGAGATAAAATCTAGACTCATTTGGATCACACAATTTTATCAGGCTTTACCGATTTTTTATTTGACCCAATTTTAAAAACCAAATATAATTAGCAACAGTCCACATAAAAATTTTCAAACATTGGGAGCATGTGAATGAATTGTGGGGATTGTTTGGAGAATATGTTTTCGAAGATTGATTCAGATCCGCTGAAGGTAGAATGGAGGGTGTGGATGTTAAATGCCGGATGCTACTTGAGGTATTCAACTGTGAGGTTTTACTATAACAATTTACCGCATGCCCTAACCCTTTCTGGTGAACCAAATTCTTAGTCTCCTTCTTGCAAATTCTGTGACATAATTCTGTTAATGCTTGTCAGGTGAGAGGTACAAAAATAGCTATTATCTTGGCAGCGACATTTTCTATCTGTGGCTCTTGTTTTGATTGCTAGAGTGGGCATTTTTTTTGTACAAATGAGGATTGTGAAGAAGAGGAGAGGTACTTATGTTCGTTGTTTATGACCATTTTAAGGTGTTTTGAGACTATTATTGGATTACAACTCTACTGAGCTGGCATTTGCTAAGTGCATAGAGAGGAAGCAGCTTTGGGCTTTAGTAATTGTTGTCCACAAGTCCAAAAAAAATACCCTACCTTAGTCAATGAGTCCAAGAGGCTTTCCTTTTGGACTACAACACAGTGAGTTGATAATTTCTCCAAGGAAACCTTGGTTTTTTCATGGGCATCAATGAGACTCGACAAAATTGACATTAATCTGAAAAATTGATCCAGTTCATCCAGTATAGGTAGGTGTAATTGCAACAAACCCTTAAGTTCTTTTCGATCCAAGGCTTCTTTTCAAATAGACCTACAAAGTCTTGAAGTTGGTTTTCAAGGTAAACACTTTGACATTTAAATCAATAATAATCTAATCTACTCTAAGAGAGAATGAGAAGAAAGCTTTAAGTTAGTTTCAATTACTTGTAGAAGGTGACCCTTGGGGGTATTTATTGACTTAATGAGGTATCCATGTGGCCTTCTTAATGAAATAATTAAGATTTGATGTGCCCATAAAAGCAGACATCTCAGGAATAGGGGATTAAGTGAGTGCATTATTACTATAGTCATCATGCAACTAGGAAGAGCTTAACCTAAGTCTCACATCAATTATCAAGTGATTGAACTCAAACAACTTGAAGAGATGCTTTGAGTTTAATGTACACATAATATGTTCGAGACCAATGATCTTGGACCTAACCTTACAGTAGGGTTTTTAAGGTATTAATTTAAAATTTAATATGATTTAAGCTAAAATTATTTCAATTTGATTGGGTTTGATCAACTTAAAGTGATACAACTAAAATTAATTATTTTTTTTAAATTAAATATTTTGATTAATTATATTTTTAATTTTAATTTTTAAATATAAAATAAAATAAAATACTATAAAATTCTTTTCTTGTTAAATTATTAAAGCTAATATTAATTTAATAGATTTATTTTATTAAATAAGTAAATAAATTTAATTTTTTATGAAAAATAAACAGAGATAAAAATAGATAAAATATTAAAAATTTTTAATTTTAATTTTTAAATATAAAATAAAATAAAATACTATAAAATTATTTTCTTGTTAAATTATTAAAGCTAATATTAATTTAATAGATTTATTTTATTAAATAAGTAAATAAATTTAATTTTTTATGAAAAATATACAAAATATTAAAATTTTTACTCCTAATTTTTATTTTTAAAAAATTAGGTTTACACAACCCAATCTAAAGTCCGTATAGTGAGTTATGGGTTTATCCCATTTAACTTGAAATCCAAAATGATCTAATCTTGATAAACTAAAGTATGAGGTGATGCAATCTAAACGTATTTTATTCGACTTATTTGCTAGGCTTAACAGTAGTCAAAATACCTAAAATTCAACCTAAAATTCAAAGTTTTCCAATCCTGATAAACTAGAAATCTAAAGTGATCTAATTTGAACGGATTTGATTTGACTTGCTTGTTAGACCTAATATCAACCAAAATACCATACCTACCATTTAGAATTGGGTTTTTTACATCTTCTCATCATAAATTTATATAAAAAATTGTAAAATTTAATATTAATTTTAATTTTATTATTATGTCTATAAATTTAATTAAATAATT